GAGTATGGCGGTAGCTTATTTATGTGAACAATCGTAGCACACTGAAAGGCATTCTGGAAGACTTTGAGGAGATTGAGCGACAGTTAAACTTATTCAGCTTGTCTGTCTGTTTTTCGTAGACCATGCCCTTCCTTCGACCACATTTGTGCAAGACATCGAAGCCGAAAATCGATAAGTGCGGTTTTTGTTCACATCGCTGTCGGTCGTTTTGAGGGGAGGAGGTGCAAACATTGGTACGCTTAGAACAATTCTCCGATCAAATTCCTCATGTATCCCTGATAAAATGTGCACAGAACGATGCACAAAAAGTGTACTTACCCAAATCCAAAATACCGGCTTCTGCAGTCTCTTCCACATCCAAATCCCACATATCTTGATTCAAGTGACATACAAGTTGTGCCAACGTTTCTTCCAGGAACTGAAAATAGAACAGTAAGTAAAAAGTAACTAATAATATTAATAATAATAATAATAATAATAATAATAATAATAAGGAAGTGTTAATTCACTCTACATGATATGCAATTCATGTACACACGCAGTATGCAGGAATGGCGTCCCAGTCCTTCTGGCTTAGAAGGGGCTAGTACGTTTGTTACACTTGTCTGTAGCCGAATTGATTAAGTGACAGATTCTGCCAGTTGGTATACACGCACGCACTCACGTCATGCAGATTGATTCAACCACAATACCGATCGGCTCCAGCCACTCAGATGTTAGCACTGAACTGCCCAAGCTGATTGGTTCGTTGACAGTTTGAATATATTTGCCTGACCGCATTCGGATGCTATGTGACGCGTTGGGCTAGTTGTTATCCTCTATGCCTTCCTTCCTACGTGTTGCCCGTTTTCTGCTTGCTTATCGTCCTATGGACCGGCTATATACAGGTGTTGACCAAACTCGTGCAACATCACTCTCATTTTCGAAATCGATTTCAATTTGCAATAACATGCTTATATGCTGATGGCCATTGGTGAACTGTATTTATTCCTGACTTTATCTCCCACTTCTATGTTCTTTGTTATATTTTATTACCGTTTGAATTTGCGCTACCTTGAGGGCCGCGATAAAATTTGTAGTAGCTCAAGAGTTACGGCTGAGATTCGGAAAATATTTTAAGCAAACCATCATGGAAACTCGTTCTTTCTACAATAAATGTACTGCATAAATGACTGCCTTCCTTTTTACTTACTTGGACGGAACACAACATCAGTCAACTGCCGATTACCGAATTGGTAACAAGGCTTGAGTTCACAATCCGCCAGTCCAATCACAGAAGGCAAATGATAGGACGTAACAATTAAAAACAGTGAATTTGACGGCCTGATAACTTGGGTCAAGGCTTTAATCTGATCACTTTCTCCCAGCAATAGCCCTATGGATTAATCGAACGATTCGGCTTTTTGAGGATGCCTAACTTATTCCACTCTGAATCGAATTGTGTGGAAGTGATCTGGAAAGATTTATTGCACTTATGTGAGGCTATGCGGACAAGGCTAACCGGAACTTACTGCCAAGGCGAGAATCTTCCTGATCTGAAGCCGGAGAGTGACAAATAAGGAGCTGAAATGCAAATATTTCCACATTTCTTTGTATCATGCTCCGCAGAAATGAAGAGCCTCTGGATGTATAGACCAACTGGAGGAGAACATTTCTGTCCTACACAACACGGACAGATCGGGCAAAAGAACACATCGCCTCAAGCTCGCCACACTTAAATGAGACGCTTTATCAAGCAGACTTAACTGCACCAACGGAAGCGTTCTTCATACAAACTAAACAACTTTTGGTCTGATATACCGAACTGTTTAGAAATCGTCAGTCGTTAAACAGTTTACCATAATCTCAGACGCATACGATAACCTGCCAGATGTAGTACACTATTCGATCTATCGAATCAAACCACAATAGTACTTTAAATACATAATTAGAATCACTGAAACTCCCAGGTCTGTCCTCAGATTGCAAACGGGAAAGCAACTAAACGGGACGCCATCCGAAAGGCAAGTGTCTATGTAAAAGACTAGGAATCTGGAAAATTAACAAACACGAAGCGTTCTTCACTTAAGACCATAGTAGTAATCGCACTCTCTGACGGGGTGGGCACGCCCTCGAACCGTTCAATCAGTGGCTGTAACATTGTGACGCACTGTGTGCTCACAGCCACCATGGTTCATCGTGTGCTGCCGGACGCCGCGCGCATACATTCTGGTCCCCTGACCGACGTTGAATCGGCTCCTCATTCAATGCCGCTTTTATCATGTCTGTAACTAACTGACCAATTGACGAGTCATCGTTTATTCTGATACCCTTTTGCTCGTCTGTCTCTAAATATCACGTGACGTTCAGGTTTTGGACGATAGCGCGGTTAATGAGACATCGGTAGGCGTTTGTGTGTTCGAATGGGCCACTCAGATTGACAGACGCGGGACGAAACTAACGCGGGTGGAGCGTGTTTAAGACTCCCACCAACCAAGACGGGATACGAGAGAGGCTGCTCTACACAACAGATTTGTGCACTGAGGTAGAAAATCCATTTAAAAAGAGATTTCACTGGTGACCGAAAACGGTAGAAGATACTTTGAATTAACACATCTGAAATCCATCTTTGTTGGTGCCAACCGCGATCTCTGTTCGAAATTTATTTCAATCTTTATGCAACTGATTGCTTGTGAATCCCGTCATACTTCAGTTGCTCAAAATTAGTTACTTCGAGCCGGTGATTATCCAGTCGATTAAACGCCAGATAGCTCTACCACCCACTGAACTTATTAGTTTCTAAACCTCATCGGAAATACAGGACTATCGAAACGGTTAGGACAATTCACAACAGACGCGATTCGAATAGGAATAAACCAAACCACAACCAGATTTCGACGAACCGATAGAACACACGAGAAAGAACTAGAAGTCACATCAAGTGCAATATTATAGACATGCACAGCTTGCGAGTGACAAAATATGACGTTTGCAACGATGTGGATCGATCGTAGCTCGGGATGCGGATGCTGGTGTTGATGAGT